CACTGGGGTGAGGGAGGATGGAGGGAGCACTGATGTGAGGGAGGATGGAGGGAGCACTGGGGTGAGGGAGGATGGAGGGGGCACTGGGGTGAGGGGGGATGGAGGGAGCACTGATGTGAGGGAGGATGGAGGGGAGCACTGGGGTGAGGGAGGGTGGAGGGGAGCACTGGGGTGAGGGAGGATGGAGGGGAGCACCGGGGTGAGGAGCTGCCCCGGGGAACTGTTGCTTTTCCAGAGAGCTGGGGTGCAGTGGGTGTTGGGGAGCAGTTCTGATCAGCTTGGCCTCTGGCTCTTCTGAGTGGACACACACACCTTTTTTTCCCCCAGTCCTGGGGCTTGAACTCTGGGCCTGGGCGCTGTCCCTGAGCTTCTTTTGCTCAAGGCTAGCGCTCTTCCACTTGAGCCACAGTGCCACTTGTGGCTTTTTCTGTGTATGTGCTCCTGAGGAACTGAACTCAGGGCTTCATGCGTGCTAGACAAGCACTTGACCATGAAGCCACACCCCCAGCCCTGTATTCCATTTTGAAGTGGGCAAACTCACTCTGCTGAGCAGCCAGCACGCAGGCTCAGAGGCTGAGGGACACAGCCCTCCCTCCCCCAGGAGCCCAGCCCTCCCCGGCTGCGCCCTGAGCTTTGCAGCTTGAAGGGTAGGGGCAGAGGGTGGCCGGCACCCACCTTGGTGGTCTGGATACCTGTCCGCTGATGAGTGCCAGGCACCACATGGCTCATGGCATCTACCACCGAGCCTGAGGCCAACTAAAAGGGCAAGGAGGAAGAGGCCGGAGGCCGTGGCCCCCACAGGGCAAATGTCACACGGGGGAAGGGGAGAGGGCGCTGTCCAGAGTGGGGGCTGAGGCTGAGTGCAGGCTGGAGATCAGCCACAGGTGTAGGGTGAGGGCCAGGGAGTGGACGCACCCCACCCCGCCCCTGCCCAGGCCCCCTCGCCCCCTCCAGGCTGCTGCTGACTTCTCTGATTGCCGTGTGGCCCCGGGGAGGGGAGGGCGGTGGTGGGCATGGAGGCTCAGGGGCTGGGGAGCACTCCGGGTGCGCGAGGTCCAGGGACTCAGCCCTTGAGTTCTGCCTTTTGAGTCTGAGTCTGATGGGCCATGTTCTCTTGAGCCTGAGGCTGTAATTTTCCTGCCAAAATGTCTTAAAAGCTGCAAGTGTAAACAGTTTCAAAACTACAGGTATGGTGAATTTACGTAGCACAGGTGTGCATTTCATCCACACACCACGAGTGTGGCATTTCCTGGGAGAGTGTGCATTGTAGGGTGTGCTGGCTCCCATGTGCCCCTGCCGGCGATGGTGCGCCCCTGCCGGCGACGGTGCTGCCAGGGGGACAGGTCATCTGGGTGGTGGGGGGGATGGGTCGCCTGGGGGGGATGGGTCGTCTGGGGGGGGGACAGGTCTGGGTGGCTGGGGGGGACGGGCCGTCTGGGTGGGGGGGAGGGTCGGGCTGTCTGGGTGGGGGGAGGCCGTCTGGGTGGTGGGGGGGGACGGGTCATCTGGGTAGTGGGGGGGGACAGGTCTGGGTGGCTGGGGGGGACGGGCCGTCTGGGTGGGGGGGGAGGCCTGCCTCAGGGACTGTCCCCTGCTGGCCCTCTGGACGCAGGTGTGTCCCCAGTCCTGTGGAGCCAGCTGTTTTGCCCAGCTGTGCTGGTGGCCTCTGGTGACGTTTCTCTGGAGCCTCTCCTGGGCGTGGACCTGTCCTTGCCGCTGTGACTGCGGGGGCTGGGCGGGCGTCCCCGGGGAATGCCCCAGCTCTCAGGCGTGGGTGTGGGGGGTGGCCTGCCTCCCTCCTCCCTGGCCCTGTGGCTGTGACCCAGCCCCAGTGTCTCCTGTAGCTCCACCGTGGGGGCCCCACCAGGAACGCTGAGGTCAGTCCCATGCCAGGACCCCAAACCTGGCCCAAAGTAGGGGACCAATGCCTCTTCTGCACCGGGTCATCAGCACCTTCCAGCCTTTTCCTGTGTCTGGCCGCCTGTCCTTCCCCGAGTCCAGCCGCTCTCTGTGCCCCTTGCTCTCCGGGCACGGAACATGACTTCTCCCTTTTCACCCTCAGTGACCAAGACCCAAGTCGGTGGTCCACGGACCGGCTGAGCAGCCTGGTGTCCTGAGACTGGCTGTTCTATCAGGCAGGCCCAGCCTGAGCCCAGTGTCCCCCCCCCCCCCCGTGGTCTTTGTGAGGAGCTGTGCAGTGGAGCAGGTGCTCAGTGGCAGCCGAGGCTCCCCCTGCTCAGGTAGCACCGGCCAGGCCCACGGGGGCTGTCTGAGCTGTGGGGTGCTGCTGGCTTCACTCCCTGGCATTGGAGTCTAGAGCAGGTGGGCCCAGCCCCCAGCCTCCATGGTTGGCCCAGGCCTAGGGCGGCTCAGGGGGCCGCAGACTGGACAAGACTCGTCCCTACCCGTAGCGTGCGGCCGGGTGGCTGCTTCCTGCCCAGAGCCCATCACGACAGGCAGAGGAGGGGGGGGGAGAGCGGAGGCCCTGGGCGGCTGAGGGGGTCAGCGGGACCCACGGCGGCCCCCAAGGTGGACAGCGTGGCCCAAGGCGCGGCTGGCTGAGTCTCGTCCGCTCCCCTCCTGTGGGCGCTGTGTTTCCAGCTCGGAGGCTGCGGCGTCCTGGGCGTTGGCATCTGGCTGGCCGCCACCCAGGGGAACTTCGCCACGCTGTCGTCTTCCTTCCCGTCCTTGTCGGCCGCCAACCTGCTCATCATCACCGGCACCTTCGTCATGGCCATCGGCTTCGTGGGCTGCGTGGGGGCTCTCAAGGAGAACAAGTGCCTGCTGCTCACCGTGAGTGTCGCGTCCCCCCCAGGCGTCCAGCGCAGACCGCGAGGTCGGGCCTGCAGTGCGTTCCCCCCCCCCGGCGTCCAGCGCAGACCGCAAGGCCGCGTCCCCCCCGGGCGTCCAGCGCAGACCGCGAGGCCGCGTCCCCCCCCGGGCGTCCAGTGCAGACCGCGAGGTCGGGCCTGTAGTGTGTCCCCCTCCCCCCGCGTCCATCACAGACAGCAAGGCCGTGTCCCCCCTGGGCGTCCAGCGCAGACCGCGAGGCCGGGCAAGGGCTCCTGGATGACCCTCGTTGCTGTGGAGCTCCCTGTGGGGCTCTGGTCTGAGGAACCCACCATGGCGACCGCTCAGGTCTCCCAGCCCTGGCACAGGCCCCTTCTGCGCCCCTCAGGGAAGCATTTGGACCCCCGCTGGCCGCTGGCAGGCCGTGTGTGCGATCCGTTTCAAAGGTTCTGAGTAGAGGGGAAGGTGGAGCAGGGGAGGGCAGAGGCGGCCCCGTCGGGGCAGGCCCGGGGGGCGTCCCTGAGGTCCCCGCTGCCGGTCCTCTGACCGCCTGTCCTCCCTGCAGTTCTTCGTGCTGTTGCTGCTGGTGCTGCTTCTGGAGACCACCATTGCTGTGCTCTTCTTTGCCTACACGGACAAGGTAGGGCTGCCGGGCGCTTGGGCCCCCCTCTACGCACCCGCAGCCACCGGAGGCCAGGCCTGGGTGGTGGCTCCTTCCTCCTGCTCACTCAGGCCCACCCCGAAGCCTTCCTTCTGGCAGGGGTATTAAGTGGGTGTTAGTAATAAGTACGTGGTGTCTCCAGCATCTTGGAACGCCACACTGCGCCCAACTGGGCACCTCTGCCTCCAGTCCCCTCCCCTCCCCCCGTTTCTAGCAGATGCCTCACTGAGCCAGTGTCCTGTTGCCGAGCCCCTCGGAGTCCAGTCCCCTGTCCGGGCCTGCTCCACGCTCTCTGTGGAGCACTGCTGGAGGCCGCCCCGAAGCCAGCCTCCTCCCCAGGTCCCGGACTCCTTTACCGGAGCACGGCCCTGGAGACCAAGGTCTGGGGTGATGTTCACATCCGCACAGCACAGACTTGCTGCTGTGGTCAGTACTTGAGCCTCGGTGCCTTGTACCTGTGACCCCAGTCAGGAGCCTCCACCTGGCGTGGAAGGTTGGCATGGGTTTGGATGGGTCCCTGGATGGCACCCACCGGGGCCCGGCTGACCCTGCTGCAACCTCAGATCGACAGGTATGCCCAGCAAGACCTGAAAAAGGGCCTCCACCTGTACGGCACCCAGGGCAACGTGGGCCTCACCAACGCTTGGAGCATCATCCAGACGGACGTGAGGCCCTGGGGGTGGGGTGGGGGGGAGTGCCTGCCTGGGGGGCCGGGGCGGGACTGGGGGGCCACGGCAGGCCCCGCCTCTCTAGCCTCAGCCTAGGTCCTTTTTGCCTGCCCAGTTCCGCTGCTGTGGCGTCTCCAACTACACGGACTGGTTTGAAGTGTACAACGCCACGCGGGTGCCCGACTCCTGCTGCCTGGAGTTCAGCGACCGCTGTGGGCTGCACGCACCGGGCACCTGGTGGAAGGCGGTGAGCGGGCGCCCGGCCTGGCGGGGGGTGGGGGGCAGGAGGCGCCGGCTGAGCCGCTCCCCCGCTCTCCTGCAGCCGTGCTACGAGACCGTGAAGGCCTGGCTCCAGGAGAACCTGCTGGCCGTGGGCGTCTTTGGACTGTGCACCGCCCTGGTGCAGGTGCGCAGCAGGGGGCCTGAGGCTTCTGGGTCTAGGGAGCCACGGAAAAGGGCGGGCTGAGGAGGGGGCACGGGTCAGTCCACTGGGTGAGGTCAGAGGTCACCCGTGGCACAGCACCGCCTGGGCAGAGCGCAGGCGCAGCCCAGCCCCGGGCGCCCTGGTCCCCGCTCCCCCACCAGCGCCACAGCCTCTGTAGCCGTTCCGAGTGTCCGCAGTGGGGAAGCTGGTGCCCGGGGTGAGCGCAGGATCCGCGGCTACCGCAGGCACAGGGCTCCCCAGGACCTCAGATCAGACGGGACCCAGAGGCACAGAGCAGGTCTTGAGGCTGCTGTGTGGTGCCGCGGCCAGCGGGGCTCACGGGGCCCTGCTGCAATGGGCCTGGCTGGTGGTGGCAGGGGCCCTGGGCTGGGCTGAGGCTTCCTGCTGAGCCCCTTGTGTCTCTGCAGATTTTGGGCCTGACCTTCGCCATGACCATGTACTGTCAGGTGGTGAAGGCGGACACCTACTGTGCGTAGTCCACAGCCACCCGCCCCTCTCTGCCGAAGGACACTGCCACCAAGGAAATGACTGCCTCCGGCCCGCCGTGCCTGGGCTTGGAGACCTCAGAGCCCCGTCCCAGATCCAGTGGTTTGGCCTCAGTGACCACAGGGGAGAAAGTGGCCGGCTGCTGCCCACGGCACCTGTCATCCAGAGCCGGGTTCCTGCGGGGTGGGGACACAGGCAGCGAGCAGTCCCCAGCGCCCGGGGTGCCTCCTGGAGGCCCTCACTGGCCATGGTGCTCCGGCGGCCCCAACATCCACATTCCAGGTGCATTTTAATAAAGTGCACGAGCAGCGCTCGTGTCTTGCTGCACGTGTGTCGCCTGGAGAGCTGCCTTCTCCAGCAGGGGGGAGGGGGGGGCGATGACTGTCAATAGCCCCAGGACACAGCAGACGTTGGGGGCGGCCCTGGCCTGGGGAGGCTGAGGGAGTCTGGCCCGCCTCCCCCTCCTAACCGGTCCTGAGGCCCCAGCAGGCTCGGCAGTGCTCCACTCCTGACTACCTGGCCGCCCTTGCCCCTCACAGGACAGCCTGGAGAAACGGTTAACACGTATGACCTGGATCTGGACGGTGCCCTTGTCACCAGGGGTGGGGGCTCAGGTTGGGTGAGCACCCCCCAGGAGTCCAGGCCAGCGAGGTCCCAGGACGGGAGCCCGGGCGGGGATGGGCCAGCCCCATCAGGTCCCCTTTCTCCCAGGCTCAGCCTGCTGGTCACTGCCTGTGGCGGCCGCTGGAGCCCTGGTGTCCACCCTGGGGGCTGCACCTTCATGGCCCCAGTCCTTCCAGGCCCTGCCCCACAGCCTCTGAGCAGACTGGACCAGAGTGTTATGAAAGTGGGGTTCACAGCCGCGAGCCCAGGCCAGGCCCCATGGGGACACCACCCGCGGAGACCTTGCTGTGAGGACAGAAAAGCGTCCAGTTCCTAGGTGTACACAGATCTCTTCATTGGCTCAGGTGTTGCCAACCAGCCCAGGCCTCCAGGAGCAGCTGGGAGGCCTGAGCTCCGAGTGGCGCCCGGTGGAGTAGGGGCCATGGGTCCTGCCCACAGCAGGCAGGCAAGACGGGGTCCGGATTTCCATCTCAGGACTCCGGTGCACGCCCCCTCCCCCGGCCACAGCAGACACGTCACAGCAAATGGCAGCTCTGTATTTCACCAGTCATTCCGTGGCTTAGAAAAGTCCATCCGTGTCCATGTGAGGCCTGCCCAGCCTAAAGCAGGTCGTAGAAATAGTCCAGACCTTGGCCCAGCTCCCAGATGGAGACCCCAACGCCCAGCTCCCAGGCCAGCTCCAGCCGCATCTGCAGAGACTGTGGGCACAGACAGAGGGGTGGGCCCGGAGGTCTCCCCAGCAGCACACCCGAGTTGGGCTGCAGGCTGACTCGCACGGCCGAGGGCACAGGCTGTGGTGCAGCACGCTGACACCTGGCCTGACCCACACCACTGCCCGCGCCCCAGCGCCCCGGCCAGCACCCCGCGATGCACGTACCTTCAGAGTTGGGTAGAACACCAGGTGCCTCCCGCCGCGGCTCCTGCGGGGTAAGGGGGCGGTCTTAGCACGGGCCAGGCTCGGCGGGACGCAGGGGGCGGGCTCCCACCGCGATGGGGGCTCTGGACCCAGGCCCTGCAGTCCCCCACACCCGCACTCCCCCGGGGACCTGCTGCCACGGCTTGGAGAGCTGTGTGCACACATCACTCACTTCTTGTACTCGAAGAAGTGCTCTGCCGCCTGGCTGTGCCACACCATGCGGGGCTTGTGGTCCTTCAGCATCTGGATATACCTGGGGAGGCCGGGGGGTGGGTGTGGGGTGGGCTGGGCCCTGGGCCGGGGCTGCAGCCACCCCTGCACGTGGGGCAGAGTGGGGACCCACAGGACCAGCCAAGGGGGGCCAGGGAGCTATTCGTTTTTCACTCAAGGCTAGAGCTCTACCACGTGAGCCACAGCTCCACTTCTGGCTTTTTGTGGCTAACTGGAGATAAAGTCGTATGGACTTTACTGTTCAGGCCTGCTTTGACCCACAATGCTCAGATGTCAGCCTCCTGACAGGCGTGCTGAAGTCACCATCAGTGCCCAGCAAGAAATGGGGAATACTATGATACAATAATTATGTTGTCCTTCGAAGAATCGCAAGGGGGTAACAAGGTCGGCAAGAATGTACTCACTACCTTACTAATGCGACGCCTCTGTACATCACCTTGACAATTAAAAAGAGAAGAATCGCAAGATCTCACCTAGACCTGCCACAAACCTAGAGCCTCAGCGGCCAAGAGGGCATCCTGTGTATTTCCACGAGGACATGGAGCCTCACTCCGCAAAGACCTGTTTGGAAACCTCGTGGCTTTGGAAAGCTCAAGAAGAAAAGCAGGATGTGTGGGTAAGTGGAGCGCGTGGCCTAGAACTGGGGGACCCACCGAGGCTAGAGGCAGGGACAGATAACAAATCTGCCCGACTCACACTCCCAGAGTAAATCCACAGTGAGACCTCCAGCCCCCCTCCCCCAGCCCGCCACACGGCCCACAGAAGCCCTGGACCTAAGCTACAGTCCTCGAAACACCGGCTGAAGGACAGTCCTGACCCTTCCTGGCCGTGCTGCATCCAAAGGGTCTCCTCCATCCAACAGGCCTGGGGCCCACTGTGGAGCCACAGCCCGGCACAATGGCAAGACAGGCCAGAGCTGGGCTGGGGATGCATCTCCACAGCCGGACCACCCAGGGCCAGCTCTACACTCAGTCCGGTGGGCGCCCCGGTCACGTCAGGACTGCTGGCTCAGCCATGGGACGTTTTCCTCCTTGGGTCTGATGAGTAGGTTTTCCCAGAAGGTTTGGGGCAACACATGGGGAGGAAGGTGGAACAGGAGCGCAGTGGGAAGGGGGTGGGGGCCGCCCTGGGCCTCCCTGCCGCGGCTGATCTCAGGGTGGGAATCAATGGTCGCCAGGTGGAAGCTGTGCATTTGGCAACAGGACTGACTAGAAAGGCAGGCCACCTGGCCCCACTGGCCGGCCAACCCTCCTGGGTGCTCAGCACTGCCGTCTGTGGGAAGCGTCTGCCTGTGTTTGCAGGGCCGGGCTTCATCACGCAAGTCAGCAATGGCTCCTCACCAGGAGTGATTTTCCAGGCTGGCAGCGGGGCTGCGGGGCGGCAGCCCAGGGGGCCCACCAGGCCCCCACATGGAGGCCCAGTCACCAGCCGAGAGCGGGGACCATGGTGGACACCTGAGGCTCCTGCCAGAAAATTCCGAGGTCCGGTCCAAAACACTTGGGCCATGGGAAGACAGGGCTGTGTGGGGCTGAGCCTTGCAGTGGCCGCTCTCCGGCGTGGCCTGGGGGGCCCACCGGCAGAGCCGCATGGTGGGGGAGGGCAGAGAGCCCCCACTGGACTTGTGGCCCCTGGGCTGCAACACAGCTCCCAGACTTTTTTTCCCCCAGTCCTGGCTTGAACTCAGGCCTGGGCGCTGTCCCTGAGCATCTTGTGCTCAATGCTGGCGCTCTACCACATCAGCCACAGCACCACTTCCGGCCTTTTCTGTGTATGTGGTGCTAAGGAATCAAACACAGGCCCTCATGCATGCGAGGCCAGCACTCTACCACTGAGCCCCCTTCCCAGCCCCCTGCCAGGCGGCTTTGAAGGCAGAACTCCAGGGGCCAGCCGGAGCTCTAGATTGCACTGTGCAGACCACACCCTGGGCAGGATCAGATGGCCTGGCTCTGGGCTCCAACACAACGTGAGCCAGCCACCTGCCCACCCCAGGGTCTTGGCTGTGTGTATGGCTGGCAGATGGCAGAGCCACGGATGTCCTTCGACCCCCAGGAGGGTCTCGGGTCCAGCACTGGAGGCTGAGGCGGGCGTGAGAGACACTGCCAGGGCTCTTGCTAGCACAGTGGGTGTGTCTGGGCCTCAGAGAAGTCAAAGGGCCAGGCCTTGCTAAGATAGCAAGGGTTTGGTAAGGCCCTGGGTTCAGAGGGAGAGCAAGAAGCACACAGAGACACAAGAATCATCACCCATGGACAGAGGGAAAAGACACCATCTGCCCACATGCAGCCGAAGAGAGGCATCAGGAGCCAGCCCTTCCAGCCATCTAGACTGAATGAACACGGCTAACTTCAGTGTGTGCGGTGGCCGTGATGTCCTAAGAGGTGAGTGCAGAGGTCAGAACACTAAGATGAGAGACAGCAAACAGCTCAGACCTAGCAATGAGCATGACGCGAGGCTGGGCGATATGGACAGAGGAGAAGGGCTGGAGGCAGGTGAGGCACTAACTGAGCAACTCCAGGAAAGAAACACAACCAAGGTGAAGCGGTCAGACTAGCATAGTCACATGACCAGAGATGCTGCAGACCCTGGAGGAGAAAAACACTGGCAACAGAAGAGGAGGGGCCGTTCTAGCCAGTCTCACCTGCTGACCTGAGGAACCTGAAGCCTTGTCATACCAGCCCAGCACATGCTGCCCAGCTCCTGCACACACAAGCCAATGGGGCCCAGCTCCCATCCACCCCAAGCCAATGGGGCCCAGCTCCCATCCACCCCAAGCCAATGCTGCCCAGCTCCCATCCACCCCAAGCCAATGGGGCCCAGCTCCCATCCACCCCAAGCCAATGGGGCCCAGCTCCCATCCACCCCAAGCCAATGGGGCCCAGCTCCCATCCACCCCAAGCCAATGGGGCCCAGCTCCCATCCACCCCAAGCCAATGGGGCCCAGCTCCCATCCACCCCAAGCCAATGGGGCCCAGCTCCCATCCACCCCAAGCCAATGGGGCCCAGCTCCCATCCACACCCAAGCCAATGGGGCCCAGCTCCCATCCACCCCAAGCCAATGGGGCCCAGCTCCTGCACACACAAGCCAATGGGGCCCAGCTTCCATCCAACCCAAGCCAATGCTGCCCAGCTCCCATCCACCCCAAGCCAATGGGGCCCAGCTCCCATCCACCCCAAGCCAATGGGGCCCAGCTCCCATCCATACCCAAGACAATGGGGCCCAGCTTGCGGGGCACCGTGGATCACGCCTGTCATCCTAGTTACTCAAGAGGCTGAGATCTGAGGATTGCAGTTCAAAGCCAGCCTGGACAGGAAAGTCCATGAGACTCTTATCTCCAACGCCCAGCTTCCACACCTCCCAAGCCAATGGGGTCCTGCTTCTGTGCACATTCCCAATGGCAGGACAACTATTCCCAGAGACAGCGCCTCGGGCGGTGCTTTGGGGGGGGGCGGGGGGGGGCCTGAAGCAGGACAGAGGCTCCCACCCAGTCCCTAACTCTGACTGCACAACCTGTAAGTCCAGGGAGACCAGCCCACCCTCTCCACTTGCAGCTCTCCCTCTCCTGGGAGTGACAGCCCCTCAGCACCCATTACTGGAGGTCCTGTGAACTTGCTCCGAGGGCCCCGCTCACCTGGCCCCGATGACAGGCTCACGGGCGTCCTTGGAGGTTGCATAGTCCATGCCGTACAAGTTTAGCCCCAGCAGGATTTTGCTTCGCCACTGGGACTTGGGGTCCAGGACTTGGACACAGGCTCGAACCCACGAGAGTGGGGCATTAGGACCAGGCCTGCAGGGGCAGCGGGGGTGGGGGTGGGGATCCAGGAGGAGGAGGAAGCCCTGTGCCTGACAAACTCAGTCCTCCAGGACACCCACCACGGCCATTCTCCCTCTGTGACAAAAGGCAGGAGGAACCAGCAGCAACCCATCACCAGGGTGGCACTGGTAAGTAGGCCTGGGCCCAGGCAGGGGCAGGGGCAGAGCCTCCCCACCCCAGGCCCGCCGGGGGGCCTGAGGCACAGGGAAGGTCCTGGCTGGCAGATTCACAGTCCTCCCCAAAGGCCCAGAGACACAACTAAGGTTCTGACAATAGGGCTCTGCCCCAGGCGGCCCCTCCCCACTGACCATGCCTCCCACTGACCACGCCCCCCACTGACCACACCCCCACTGACCATGCCCCCACTGACCACCCCTCCCCACTGACCACGCCCCCACTGACCACCCCTCCCCACTGACCACGCCCCCACTGACCACCCCTCCCCACTGACCATGCCCCCCCTGACCACCCCTCCCCACTGACCACCCCTCCTGATCCTGAGCCCAGGGCAGGCACAGCACCACCAGGCAGTAGCCAGGCCCAGAGAAGGTGGCTGCCTGTCTATGCTGAACCCCAGAGCCCATAGGCAGGAGGGCGTCTGCTCTGAGGCCCGCGAGTGGGCCTGCAGCCCACAAGCCCACACTCACTGCTGAGACGTGGAGTAGTCATAGGTCATGAGGCTGAAGCCGTCCAGCACGGGGGCCAGCTGTCCAAACTCCTTGTGTGTGAACATGCCCAGCTGGTCAGTCCTGCAGAAGGCAAACACGTCCCCCTGAGCCTCCTGGACCCTCCCTGCTCTCAGCCCCATCAGTCCCGGGAGCATGCCGCCAGAGGGCACACGAGGGCCAGGCCAGCCTGGCCAGGGCCCAGATGCCCACAGGCCACGTCTTTCCCCATCTCACGCCTTCACTCAGCCCGACCCTGGAGCCTTTGCTCCTCAGGGGGGGCAGGCCGAGACCCAGGGAGTCCCACTGAGGACGTAGGTCTGGCCACCCCAGCCAGACCTGCTCGCGTCCCTCCAGAAGGCCATGGCTTGATCACAGCCTGCTGGAGCCTTTCAGGCCTCACCCTTCTACACTCCAGGAAGAGCTTCCATCGCTCCCCAGCCAGGCCCTGCTTTCCAGGATTCCCTGACTCCCAGAGGAAGTCGGGGGCCACGGCTGAGAGCTGGGGGTGACTCCTCTTAGTCTCATCCTGTGTGACTGGTGTCCCAGCGGCATTTGGCCACTGACACCCTCCTTGGGAATTGTCAGCTGCAGGGGGGTGGGGGGGGCTAGACAGGGAGAGAAATGTGGAGAGGGGACTCCCTGGGGTGGGAAGCCAGCTAGCTGATGGCCAGAGCTCAAGTCAGGTGCACAGGGACTGGAAGAGCGGGGTGGGGGAGACATGGGGCCTTGTTTACCTCATAATAAACAAGGCCTTCCAGGTGCTGTGCGTGCGTGCATGCCTGTGCTCGTTCTGGTCCTGGGGCTTGAACTCAGACCTGTGTGTTCCTGAGCTTTTTTGCTCAAGGCTAGCACTCTAGCCACAGGTCTACTTCCAGCTTTTTGGTGGTTAATAATAGATGAGTCTTATGGACCTTCCTCAGATCTCAGCCCCCTGGGCAGCTGGGATGACAGGTGTGCGCCTGTAAACTTCCTTTTAAACCTCCCTCCCTCCCTTCTTTCTTTCCCTGGTTTTGGCAGACAGGGGCTTGAACTCAGGGCCTGGGCACTGTACCTGAGCTTTTTAGCTCAAGGCTAGCACTCTACCACTTTGAGCCACAGCACTACTTTTGCTTTTCTAGTGGTTAATTGGAGATAAGAGTCTCTTGGACTTTCCCGCCCAGGCTGGCTTCAAATAGCAATCTTCAGACCTCAGCCTCCGAGTAGCTAGGATTACTGGTGTGAGTTACCAGTGCCCAGCTGTTTTAAAGCTTTCTTATTTTACAGTAGATCTGAAACAAGATAGCGATGTGTGCTAGTTCTGGGTTAGTGTGGACAGGGTGTTTTCTATAGTGATTTTGACTCCTGGCTGCCTTGTCCCATGCTAGGATTCCGTATCTCCCTGCAAGCAGGCTGTGGGTCTGCAAGAGCACAGCGTGGCTGTCGCTGAGTCTGCCCACCTCAGCCCAGGGGCACGTCCAGCCACGCCCACTAATGTCACTCCAGAGAGCGGAGGACTGCAGGGTTAACTAGACACAGAGGCATCTTTCTAGAACCCTATGCAGGCGGCTCAATAGCTATTTGCACACTGGACTGTTTGGATGCTCTGGGAAGTCAGCCGACACTGGGCAGCATTTAGGACTCCCACTCCAATGGGGGGATGTGCCCCCCCCGCCCGTGTGTGCGCCACGCCCCGCCCTGCCCCCCATCCCTGCCCTGTCCTCCCGCCCCCACCCCAGGTCTCTCTTCACAGCATGGGTCAGAGCTTTT